CAAGTACGGGGTGAGATCGATTGTAAGGCACCCGGATTGACGTTATTGAAACGGAAAACCCTCGATCGCTTGAGGAGATGGAGTGAGTTGGTTCACGTCAAGAGGGACTGGAACGGAAGTGCCGACAGTCTAGCAAGCACCGCTTTGCAACCACAAGGGGGAATCGAGGTCCAGGAGGGCCCCGGGTACCAGGATCTGGTTACCCTTGAACCGGTTAGACGAAATCTTGATCCCTAAGACCGAGAATCCAGTGGTACGAGTTACCGTGGTGGCCACTCGAGCTGGTCGAGCAAGATCACCGGCGAGTGTCATGGAAGAGGGTTTGATCCGCGAAATACGAGTCAATCGGATCAAGCAGGCCCAAGAGGAAGAAGTCTGGATCGCCGGCATGAAGAAGTTCCTGAGTGGCACGATCGCAGATCTCACACAAGCGGAAGCAAGATCGTATGGCAAGATCGCGGCCGACTAAGAGATAGACGAGCAGGATCTACTTTTTTACTGCCCCCCACGCCACGATCGGGAGACGATCGCGACCGATTGATGAGATTGGTAGTCCCCGAAACGCTACAGTCGGACGTTCTACACCACTATCACACCACGTTGGAAGGAGGACATCAGGGAGTGGGGCGAACCTACCAGCTGATCAGGGATCACTTCCATTGGAGGGGATTATACCGGAGCGTTCAGCGATATGTGGGAGAATGTGTGGATTGCGAGACAGGAAAAGGAAGACCAGTGATCCGGGGTGAATCACCAGGGAACTTGCAGGCGACGTACCCGTTCCAGATTATTGCGATGGATCACATACCGTCGCTACCCAGATCCCACAAGGAAAATACAATGATCTGGGTCGATCTGTTCACAGCATATGTGATCACGAAGGCCAGCTCGTACCGATCGGCCAAGACGGTTGCGGAATCGTACGAAGAGTGTGTATTTCGGCGATTTGGTGCCAGTGAGATGATCCGACATGATCGAGAACCCGGCTTCATGTCCGATTTCTTCCGTGCGTTTAACAAGATCTTGGGACAACGGCAGCGGGCGACAATGGCATATCGTCCACAGGCTAACGGGACTGCTGAGAGAATGGTGCAGACCGCGACCAGAACGCTCAAGATGTTCGTCCGCGATCTTGATCAGAAGAATTGGGACGAATATGCTGAGCGCCTCACCTTCGCGATCAACACGGCTCACGATCGGATCCGAGGAGATACCCCTCACTATTTGGTACA